AATCCCTGGGACCCTCGGCTAATGTGCTTGGGGATTCCGTAATACGACGAAAGTCGGTGCCCTCACGGCTACTTCGGCTTTCCTGCCACAATTTCTCGATTACGACCCGAGCATACGGGTGGACGAGCAGGAAACACGTGTGTGCGCGCGCGCGCGCGCGCGCGCCACGTAGGTATGTTTCGATGCGTTTGCTCGTCGATGGCATAATTATGCGTGGGCTGTGCGAAATTGATAACAACGTGAGCCTCGTACAAAAATATCGTGGAAGTGATATTGCAATAATTAAGTCGAGGGAAAACCCAGAGTCGCACGCTGTAAGAATATATTTAACGCTCGTTGAACGACCGATTGTCAGGATGTACATATATACCTATTACACGACGGCTGATATGAGCACGCAAAACCGTTTGAGAATAGAAACTGACCCAGCCAGAATGTTGCGCACGTCTCGTTCGAGCGAACGAACTGGGTTTTATTTCCCCGTCGAAGGTTCTCCTATAAAATTTTGGAAATCGTAACGGTTTAAATTGGAATGAGCGAGGTCAAGTCGAGCCACGGAGGACCGTCGGTTACAGGTCTGGTGACCTTCCGAGAAACACCGTAACGGACAATGACTACCTATCCACCGTGTCGGAAATTTCGATGGCCGATCGGTTTCCAGTTGCGGTGCAAACGACCAAACGAATTGGCAAACGCGCCTCGTTGGATGTCTTCATATTGGAGTCGTCTGAAGAAGCAGTCGTTTCCGAATAAATAGTCGCTACCTCGACCAGAAGGGTACAATTGTTCTATCCGTTTGCATTGAAACGGTCTTCTTTCGCAGAAATCAAATATCAAATGAACCATTTACATATTATTGCATAGGTATACGATAAGATAAATGATACTACGTTGCTATTTCAAGAAAGTCAACGAAGAAACGACGGGACATCCCTTCGTCCTAGTCGATATATCCTACGTTTGTCGAAGCGAGCGAAATTGTAAATCGCAGGAGTAAATCGTGCATCGTCCGTGGCGTGCAATTATCTCGCGGTTGGTCCGCGAGGTCACAGGGGCGGATCTTTACGGCGTGGTTCGGCTCGTTTCTCCGCGTAGATCCATATACCCTTATAAAGGATCACGTTTGTAAATCATAAAATTCACAGTTTCACACGGTCTCGACTTCGCCCCGGACCTTCGTCCCTTTCGTCCCTCGCCCCGGCGGAGGAGAGCCCTCTCCACGGGCTGCAATTACCTGCAATTTGTACTACGAGGCACCGTCGGCGCCATCTTGGCTGTATATGTGACGTGGGGCGCATGCAGATGCGCGCGGGAGCACACCAGCAACCGGAGGACGAACCGGGGCGAAACTGGAAGAGGAGAAGCTATAGAGACCTAACCTATGGAGAAAAACGAGAAGGAAAAAGTGGTAGGAGGAAGGAAGAAACGGGAGAAAAACCAGGAGGGGGGGGGGGATAGTTGAAAAGGGTGGATAGATATTCACCGGAGATTATTGGATTTCGGAATGTTACGGAAATCGCAACGCTTCCATTTCGGCTTTAGGAAGTCTTTTATTAAGCACTTTTTTAATTCATCACACTTGTTGTAACCCTTTCAAATAAATATTTCCAGATTTCATGCTTTTTATGCGTTGCGGAGAATGTTTCCAACAGCCACAAAAATGGCGACATCGCTGAAGGGTTCATACATAAGTACGAACACGTCGAAGCGCATGAATATTGTCATGTAGACAATATGTGACATATTACATACTTACATATTTGTATAGATAATGTGTGTATGATAGTGGTGATTGCATTAACTAAATTAGTATAATATAAGCAACACATATTATCATACGGTGGAAATTGCTTACACTTGACAAGTTACAGTGGTAGTTTAACCAAGGCGATGGTTCGAATTCGGCAATCTTCCTCTATTTGCATGGAGTTTATATATGTATATTTGTGGAGTATATACATTTTAGCATTAGACTAGCATTCGGAAACCGAGAACGAAAAACAAGGAGAATAAAATAAAAGAGTCAAAGCTTGTAGGTTCGACTGACCACGAAGTGGAGGAAGAAGAACAGGAATACGATTCGAGAATGGTATCTAGCGAAACGGGCCGAGATGAGTCTTATTACTGACGGGATCAAACAGCCGTTGGAGTGTTAACTGCCCGTGCTCGCGAACAGAAACGAACGGGCGCCGAAACCTGTGGTTTAATACCATTTGCCAGTAGGCGCGTTCGCCTCCACCCTTAGACCCTCCGACTTCCTTTCATGACGCATCGCTTAAAATGGTGGTTGACCGAATGTACTTACAATACTTACATGTACTTACCTACAATACTTACTGCACCCGTTAATTCACAAACTGCAGATGTTTATACAAAATCATACCTTCGTGGATTATTTTATATCAGATCAGAACCAAATGAAAATTTATTTCGTCTATTACAGAATTCACTACCTACACTATTATGAAAAATTTTCGAAATTTTTACCGACGGTTGTGTTTCATTGTTTCGTACAATTGTACACGCTGTATATACATAAAATTTTCTGCTTAATCGTTCCTTTCCGCCACCATATGTATCTTCATAATAACCCGTATAGATCTACCGGTGCGTTCCAACACGAAGGACATTCTGACGCTTCTCGTTTTACGTTTGTTATCACTCGCACCATTTCTTCTTTGTCGCTCGTCCATCGTGGAACGTGGCAGTGCACGAGAACAATGTTTCTTCGACAGTAATGCGTCATTTACCGAAACAAAAAAAAAAGAAAAAAAATGTGCAAGTGAGAAGGAAGGTGTATCGTGACGATCTCGAAAGAGGATCTTTCGCGGCACGGTATCGCTCCGAACGATCGTTGCAATCATGGCCAATTACCCGGCGACCTTACGCCGCCATATCCTTCCGATGGAACACGACACGGCAATGAAAAACACGACAAGGGGAAATCGCAATCTCTCCCCGGGGCACTTCCATCGAACTCTCGATCGGCCGCGAGCCGCTATTGCTGTGGAAGTTAACAAGCGTGTAGAAAAAGAAATGGAAGAATATAGACATCAACCGGGACATGGACGAGCGGTGGCCGGGCGATCGTTATCGGTCGATTGCGCCGCTTAATAATTGATTCCCTTTGCGAGGAAAATCGACAGAGTAATCATTTATTAAAGAGTAGCGGTACCGTTCCGCTATAGGTTGCAGCGCGTGCACGCACGCCTCGGAGGCAGATATCGCGAGCAGTATCCCAGGTTAAAACGGAAGCGAGAACACGGTCGCCGAGGGAAATCCCGTGCCTGAGCGCATCGAAAATCTCCGTCGTCGTGTCCCAGGGCTTGGGTTCGTGGCGCAGGGGTCGTTATCCGATAGGGTGCGCGAAAGAGTGAGAAAGATAATACCACCTCGAGAAACATACATATACGAGATACAGAGAGGGATAGAGAGAAAGAAAGAGGGAAAGAAAGTGTTGTTGTCGGTAAGGGAGAGGGTAAAGGAGGAAAGCCGAAGAGGGAGGTGTCGATACCGGGCGTGACCACAGATCTACCGCCTACCACAGCCCGATACGCGCTGCCAGGCGACGGCGTTGGCGTCATAGGCCTCCGCCCACTGAATCCTATACCGCGCCTGCTGTCTGCTCGTCCTGTCCGACTGGGGAACGCTCGTAGCCTCTACCGAATCGTGCGAGAGAGTAGAGGGGATCGTGAACGAGACCGTGCTTCCAACCGTCAGATCGCAAGGGGACGCGAGTGTGCGCGCGTCAGCTCCGTCTTCGAGTCGTTCCATCGTTCCTCTGTTTTATATTACCGGTCCGTTTTCGTTCCGTTTCGCACGATCAGTTCTCGTTTCGACTTTCTACGCTCGCCGTTGCTTGTGTAATCGACTGGGATCCTTTGAGTGACGGGACGCGATGTCGAGCGCAGAGACAGAGTAAAAACCAAGAATAATCGAATGTGCAGATCACGGTATCGTTAATATACCCGGTCAGCTCGCGTCGCGCTCGTGCGTTTTCGCGAACACACAGCCGTTCCACTCTCCGCGTGTCCTGTTCCGTCTTTTACCCCACCTTTCCCCATTCCAGCCACGAGACTTACCGTCCTACCCCCTCCCCCCGTCCCACCACTCCCGCCGTCCGTCGTTCCTTCCTTCCTTCTTCCCTGAAGTGTCAGTCCCTTTCGGTATCGCGGTGTGCGCGCATTACCGTCGTACCGAACACGACTCCCGGGCTCCAATATACCGTATACTTACACGGGTGCGCGCGCTCTCTTCGATTTGTAAACTGTCCGCCTTTTTCGATTCTACTGTGTGCTGTTTGTGCATCTCTCCCACGATCGTCGTCGACGGGAACGTAGTAGACGCTTGTTGTCGGCAAGAGGAAATCTCGCGCGCATGTCAGACATCAGTCCGCCGCCGCGTGTGTTCTTTACGGCTTGGTGACAGCACGGAGGAGAAGACATCGCATCTAGAAGGAATTGGAAGACCACGGCACCGGTGATAATCGATACGGAGCCCCAGTGAAGCTTAGACCACCGCTGTGTAACGATCGTTTGTTCGGTGGAAACGGAAAATCGATCAGAGACATGGACACGTAAATCAGTAATCGAACGGGGTGATTCATCGATGTGCAAATGATACGTGATTCGATCCACGGTATTTTTCACCGGTAACCGCGCGACCATTTACCGATTGAGCCGATATTTAATCCCTGTCCCGCGACACGTGCGATTCACGCGGCTTCCGAGAAGAAAAACGTGTCGAAGATACCAATCCCGGTTTCGTTGTCTATTTAGCTACCGCGTCTACGAAGCTACTGCGTGTGGAGTGGAACACATTGAACGGTGGGGAACGACGGAATCTAGCCGCCGTTCCGCTATCTCTCCCTCTCTCTCTTTCTACCGGTCGCGATAATACGCGAGCGTTTTGGCAGCGTGTCCGGCTGCGGGGGTGTCTCTCGTGTCGTGGCGACCGCGTTCGCGGTAAAACAGCCAAAATTCGGGTGAAGAACAGAGAACCGTTGCCATCCTACGCGATGGAAATGAGCGACGAGTATCAAGACATGGGGAACCCTGGCGGAGGGGTGGCGATGGCGAACATGCCAATTGCCCATCATCGTCACACGCCCGACAGTCCAATGGTGAGTGTTTTCCTCCTTGTCGATGCTTTTTCTACGTTTAAATCGCGCCGATGTACGCTGTCGGTGAAATGCTCGATTTTTTTGTAGTAGATGAATGTCGAATGGTGATCTGTGCTCTTGATCGTGGGTTGCAATGAAGTTCAAAGTGTATATAACATAAAATTTTTATTGAATATCGTTACATCATTCAAATGCATAAAATCAGCAATTCGCATAATAATGGATTCCGGTTGTTTATGAGAATATAGTTTTTTTATTGACTCGTGTATAGAAATTATAATCGACCAGATATCGGATTATTCAAATATCTCTTTATGCTCGATTAAACTTTGTATTATGTTAAGCTTCGGAGAATCGTGTGTGTGTTAAATACATATAAAAACGGCAGTCTACTTGTGATCTACGTACGTCCAAGATAAGTGAGGTTAGATGATAGCAAACGGTTAAACGATCCCTGGACGCGAGATGTACCACTAGGCGCGACATCTTTCTTTCTTTTTGAGAGTAATCAACGTCAACTATCCCATCTGTGGTATCGATTGATTCGAGCGTGTGTACGATCGTGCATAAACACGTTTCGAGGCCATCGTTCCGTGCGCCGTTTCTAGGAAAGCACAAACTGCTCGCGCGGACTTTGCCTCGTAACTCGTCGTGGCGAATAAAAACCATCGCGTTTCTTGTTCGCCACGGCGATCGATAAAATTGGCCGATAAATAGAGAACGGTAGCCTGTTTACGTATTTACGTCGAGCGTCACTGGAAATACGAGCGAAATGCTGTGGCATACCAGAAGGGCAGCCAAAGTTTACAAACAACGATCGTCTGGTCGCCTGGTCGCCGTTTTTTGTCCCTAACCGCGAGTTTTATGCACGTGCTTAACGTTCTTGATACAGACAGTCGCTATTCGGCTTGTTTATGTCGCGATCCCTGCTCTAGAAACCACGGATAAATTTAATGACGCCGTAAATGTTACGTAGAGAGAATTCGAGCGGGACATTCCTCACAGGAATTCGTTTCTTGGGATCGCGAAGGATAGGTGTCAGGACGATCGATTCGCGCGGGTGTAGTCCCCCGATGATCCTCGATTGCAGCGACATTGTCGCACAGCAGGGGAAATGTTTGACCACCTAAGAATAACGATATCCTTGGTAGAGGGTATCATGATATAATGTTACATGGAATAAAACGACGACGTCGGTCGTTCTCCTAACAGAATTAGCGCTGTTGTTGTTGGCACGTTTGTCCACGGTCGATTTAGTCTTCAACGATACCCTTTGACGACAGTCTTGGCCCGGCTTTTCACTCCTCGTTTTCGTTCCAGGCTGACATTAATTCTCGCGTTGTTCCATGTAATCGCGATCGCGCAATCGGTCGACCGGCATGCTAACCGGTAAATATAAACATAGAACAATGAAAATGCCGGGACAAGAATGGTCTGTGTTCAATTAATATTATCCCGTGACGTCATTAATATTCGTAAGGTATACGTGACCTCACGTGTTTATTAGCGACGAACGGAAGGCCAATATCGTTATTGGGTATATTCTGATTTTTCACATGGAATACTGACGTCATCCGAGAAATATACGAAATATGGCTGTTTGCGTAGCAGTTTTGGAGACGTATCGACCGAGATTGTTGAACACGTTGTAATGAAGATCGTGGACGCGAAAATGCAAAGCGATAAAATTCGCGCCAATATCTGACACTACAGAAACGATCTACCCAATCACGATTTACACCTATGAAAATACTCAGTTACGCTAGTTTCTTCCGTCTTAAATGTCGTTTGTGCATATCCAACGTTATTTCGTATAATCAAGCACATGGGGATGGTTCGTGCTGACACCTTCATCGCCGAGAGTGTCGGAAGCCTTTTCGTGCCTACGCTCCTCGACAAAGGTTTTACGAATAATAATAACCCGTAGTATATCCCCGCGTCGCCTATTCCACGTCAATAGATCATTCGGCCGAGGTCCAGGAAGCTCGCGTAGCGTCGCGCTTTCGATCTATGCCTCGATATGTCGGTTCTAAAAATACGATCGATACAACAGCCCCTTCCACTTCTGTCCCGGTATATTTAACAAATTTTACGTAACGGCTCGCCGACGATACACATAATACCTCTCTAATGTCGTGGTGACTGTCGCAGAATATCCACGCGAACGAAAAAGTCGTTCGCCACCTCGAACGATAATAGCCGTGTAAACAGCGCGGCGATAAGAGCGGGTTAACGAGGGTGTCGCACTGAGGGAATATATATTGTGCTCTTCGGTAAATGGCCGCGGAGGGATGCTTGGTTCGAGCGACGCGAAAGAGAGAGCGTTCTCCTCTCGTGTTGTCGCGTTGAGCGAGGAGAGAGAGGTGTAAACACGGTCCAACCGTGTGGAGAGATCACCTTTACGTCTGCGCATGCATGAGCCTGCGTGTCTCACCGGCACTCTGTGCGTTCTTCGAGTATTTGCACGCACAGTCGCGACGGGGGGATGCTGCGTCTCGCGCGGTAAGAGCTAGACGGGAAAAATGGGAAGTTCTTAGTGAAGTAAAAGACGTCTCGCCTTCTTCTCTTCAGTTGGTCTTCATTCATTGTTGCTCGGGACGGAACAGTTCAGATAGATACAATTTTGTATATTTTACTAACAGTTACTGATACCGTTATTAGTAAGGCGTGTCCTGGCGGAATTATTTTCCCTACGTTTCGCGAGCATTGCAGTTAACTATATCAGGGGTTCGAATAACATCGTATTAGTATGTCATTCCACCCCCTGATAGCTGCAATGCTTGCGAAACGTTGGGAGAATAATTCCGCCAGGACACGGCTTACAACCCCCAAAGTCTCAACAATAATAATTGTATGATACCGAGCGCTGAAAGTCTCCAGTCTCTAACAGCTACTCGTTCGATTTTTGATGAAGCATTTAGGAAATTTCCGTACTTTACAAGCACTTGTGTTGCAATAACGGAATTATTCAGTTTCCTTCTGCGACTGTGATTTTGGTTGTGGATATTGTGACGAATTGTCTTAAATCGACAGGTTTGTTGGAAGAAGAGCGAAACGGAGAAAGGCGGTTTTGGAGGACGTTCGCGAAAAAAACGGGGACAGAAAGGCAGAGTAATAAAGTAGAGACGATATGGATGGTTAGAAAGAGAGTCGGTAGAGGGGAGAAGAGGGGTTAGCCGGGTCCAACGTCGGGGAAACGATGTGCAGAGCGCGGCGCAAGGGCGGGGATTCCCCTTTCGGCCAATCGGATCGACTAGCGAGTGCGCTCACTTACGCCGCTGGCCTCGCTGTTTCACCTGCAGACGCCATGTCGTGACGTCATGTCTCGTTACGGCGGGACCAGGTAAAACATGTGCGGTACCATTGTCGAAGCAGTGCCGTGAGCGCCACCCCGCTACGAGGGTGGCGTACGTAACGTTTTAATCTTCGTCGATTTTCCTGTTCGTTCTGATTTCATCAAAATTTGATCTTAACCCAAATCTGAATTTTTCAATCACGTTTCTTATTTTCAAATTTCTCGAAACCCTTTTTAACAGCAATATATCTTGTCCATTGCAGACTAGATATCGCTGTATGCATTAGCTTTATCTGATATCCATTTTGACTCGATACAACCGACAATGTTGCGATATATTGTATATTGAACGGTACACGAAGGTTAAACAATTTTCCCCGAAGGTTATCACAATGGAGTATGTTTTAGTCTTGAATAATTATTCTGTTTAAAGAATTATTATCGGCGAGTTATCTGTTTATGAGATCGGGTATTACTGCGAGGAGTTTAAAATTGCTACTGCAAGTGGTGTATAAGCGATCGATATAGCAGAGGTGTTAGTCCAGGGTTCTCTAATTATCATTCTCCCCCCCCCCCCCCACGCCCTTGACAGTGTCCGAGCACAGTCGAATGCTCCAGTGTTTCTTTTTCGAGGGTCTGCTCGTGCTATTCCCCATTATCCTGGGCGGAGGTTGCGGCTTGGTAGAGTAGTCTCCTAGCCGGCTCTCGAGGAGCTGCGAACTATTATTCGACCGTTTTACGATAGCCCTATAAAAATCTCATAATTAGATTTTAAAGGTAATATCCTCCTCGAGAGCCTGGGCCCTTTGGTCCCGAGGAAGAGAGGGCCCGAGTCCCAAAATTGCAAACACCAATCTCCTTTCTCTTCTTGTCCCTTTTTTCATTTCGCGGGATGCATCCGTGGCCGAGAACAGAGAAGAAGAACTATTGTAATTCTCCGCTCGTCCCACCCCCAACCCCCTTCCATCCCCTCGAATTTTTGTAATACCGTGGAATATTTATATTCGACACTGTCACGTTTCGCGACGGTGGTCGTTTGTTTCCTTTATCAAATTAATGACTCGTCGATATCGCGCGTAGTTAACGACACGTTGCGATGCACGCGCTCGCTCGCATGTCCTAAAACTCATTACAGACAGCCGATAAGGCGATGGTTAAAAAGGAAGGCTGGTTAATGCCGGGATCGAATTTCACGAGCATTTTGCGCGTACTCCTGTTTCATGTTCTATATCGCGTGCATACGCGGTGTACAGTCGATGACACGCGTGTAATACACCCCTATCCTCGCATGATATTACCGATGGGAGCTGAGAAGTTTGAATCTGGAAGAAAATTATGGGACTCTTGTCGATATGATTGTAGGGGAATACACTGAAAAGTTAACACGTTCAGTGTTAGAATAGCCTTTATAAAACTTTCATAGGGTCAGAACCCTTTCTTTAACGATACGTAAGCTGTATATAAACCGACATTTGTCACAGTCTTGATTTTACTGACCGCCTCGAACTTGCTGAACGTAAATCAAAATTACCTTATTCAACTTTTTAATTAGAATGATATTTTTCACCTTGAGACTACAAAATGTAACGCTTGTACGAATGTATCATACCGGTCAAAGTGATAAGAGAGTGACACGACTGATCCACAGAAGAGTTAACGTTAAGAATTCCTACAGAAGCTTAGAATATTTTCTATCTCAATAAAT